AGGCCTGTTACTGGGGACTGTTAACAATATACAGAGTCCAAGGTTTATTCCAAGGTTTTCTTCTCCTTTTTGAGTTAAACAGTTACCTAGATTTTTCTCTTGTAGCTGCAGGACAGTAACAGACTTTTAAAATAGCTACTACTGAGAACCACGTGAGACTCCATGGATCCATCTCATGATCTGTACTGTCTCTGTGCAAGGTAAGCATACCTGTAGACTCACATGTGATGGTTTGCTAATTTTTAATCTTATCCTATAGGTTAGTTTTCTAGCAAGCTCAAATATCCGCATCAAGGTGTTTGTATCAACCCACAAATAAATCCAAGACATGCAATAGATGAATAAGTGTTGTTTCAGTTTAAAGGTGGAGGCTCTGGAATGTGGCTTACCTTTCACATTCAAATAGGCTTCTTTCGTGAGAAAAGTCTAAAACTTGTGGCTTCTTGTGTTGTACAGTTTGCTGCACAGTGGGCTTATTCCCACGATCCCTCTTATGTTGATAAGCAAGGTAGTTGGTACTGTCTTGATGGCCAGGCCCAGTAACATTTGAAAGTAGACTGATATGTATCAACTTTTGTTTGTTGACCTGGTTTTCCTTTCATATAACAGTTTGCATGTTAAAGGTGGCGGTGAGGAGAAGGATGCCTTCAGGGTCCTGCAGGTAACTGACCCCTGGTGCTGGCTCCTCACACACAAAGATTTCTGATCTTCCCTTTATGTGTTCCAACTTCCCACTCCCTGCAGGGAGCAGAAAGGTGGCTTGGCATGCCTTGGTCTGTTTTTTTGAGAGATGGGAAACAAAGCTGAGGAGACATGTGGTTGCAGCCTCTCTACTTTATCAGCTTGCAAACTTGGAGAAGCCTTGTAATGGTAGGAAGCACAGACTCGCACTAGGATCAGTCACGCAGGAAATAACATGTAGGGCAGGGATATGGGAGATGCGGTGGTATATAAAGACTTGTCTGAAATGCAGGGCTGGAGGAGGACTTAGGAACTAGCACAGCCAGATGAGCTTTTGCTCAGAGACAGGACAGAATGGCAATTAGACCCTGCTGTGATCATCTCCTGTCCAGCTTCTTCCTTCTGGAGATGGTGATCAGCCAGACTGGCCAGGGCTGGCAGGAGGTTGTTGAAAAGATCCAGTGATGTGGTGAGGCTGTGGATGGGCTGGTGTCTGTGTGTGGGAAGGTGTGGATACAAAAAGCAAAGATCTGGGCAGCATTTAAGAAGTACATTGCAGTAACTGCAATCTAGATTTATCCCACTTCTATGTCCCAGTAAACTGGGAATAATGTCATCCTCTTCTCTGAGCGGAAAAACATCCCAGGCTTGGAGGCAGGTCTGAATCAGATTTCTGGCTCACTTTGCACTCCTGTGGCATAGATCTAAGGATTAGCTCTTGGTGGCTGGGGCTCCATGCATTACAAGCTGCCATGTTTCCAGACAGCGTGTATGAAAATTCCGGTCTTCCCCACCGCAAAAGAAAGGGTATCTTTCTGAGGTACCTGGAGGTGATGGTCTCACTTTCAGACTGAAGCGAGTAAATGAGTGTGAGCAAGGGACAGAAGGCAAGTGCAGATATGTAGGCCTATGCCTGTACTACACGAATCTGTCCCGCACAGTATGCAGAGTCATCCTGATGCTGTTTACTCACCTATGTATGGAGTTCATTTGCTACGACTGTCTTCCTGATAAATTGGAAAAAAAAAATGTGAACTCAGAAAGTGCACTTTTCCTGCAGGGCCACTGAGCGTCACCATCACTCCGTGCCTTGCTCTGAAAGATGCCGTTTGTCCTATGCTAAAATGGGTTGGAATGGGGAAAAAAAAAAAAAAAAAAAAAAAAAAGTAATTGGAATGAAAATGGGCTGCTTCTTGCTGAGAAGCCAGAAAGCCAGAGCTGGGAAGATCTGCATCTAAAACATGAGCAAGTGATGCTACCTAAGAAATAAATCCTGGCTTATATTTAGGCATAGCGCTTGACAGGTTTCCAGCCAGAGCGTATAAGCTAGTCTCACAAATTGTAGTGGGAGCCTTAGTGACAGTATTATGGGATGGAATAAATGCTTCATCAGGGCACATTAAAAAGGCTGGGACTCCACCATTTGGTGACTAGAATAAGCAGAGTTTAGTGAGCAGATGAGAGACTGAGATTTACAAAAATAATGAAGGTGGTGGATAAAATTAATAGAAAACTGTTCTCCAGGAAACCTTTCCATGGCAGACTGGGGGCATGTGATAAAACTGGTTGGTAATAAATTTAAAACAGACAAAAAAGGTACTTTACACTATTAGAATCGACTGCTACAGCAGTTGTAGGAACCAATATCAGCAGATTCAGAAAGATCCTAGACAAACAGAAAACCAGTTTATAGCAAAGGGAATAGGTTGTGATGTATCCTCCATCACCCCTACTACCATGCTTGGATGTGGGAGTAGAACAAGGGGAATGGACTGTAAATATTGGCCAGGTGCACCTGCTCTCCCTGAAAAGTATTAAGGGCAGCTGAATGTGGTGGACTGAAAGATCCAGAGGCTTCTTTCCTTCCTGGCCCACTAGAGATGAGTGGGAGCTTCTTACTTCTGTGTCAGATCCCACCAGCACCAGGGAGGAGTGCGAGTTGACAACAGACATGCACACACAGGTTAACACTGATGAGAGACATACAGCACTTCAAAGCCACGCATATAAACGCAGAGAGTGTCGGCAACCTGACCCTATTCCTAAGGACCAAAGCTCAGAGAAACGTGCCTTCAGGGGCCTCTTGGGATTCTGACCCCCCAAAAACCTTTCATCCTACTTGCTGGCTAGACAGAGTTAAGTTTGTTATTGGATCACATGCGCGTGCACACAACAGAGAACACACTCACAGAGAAAATAATTCGAATAATTTATTATGAATGAAGTACAGACTGTGGTGATAAGTGCAAAACTTGTCCCGACAAATATACTGATTGGATTCGACCGGCTTAGTTCAATCCCCCTCCCCTCTCCATTTCTCACATTTGTTCATTTCTGATCCACCTTGATCTCTCCACTTCCCTGCCTGTGACTCTCACGCCAAACATACCCGTGTAGCTTTGTAAATCTTCAAATTCTCTTTATCGATTCCAACATTCCTACCCACCCTCCCCCCCCGTCTCCCCCCCCCCCCGTCTCCCCCCTCCCCCCGCCCCGAAGCACTCCCCAGTAAATCCTAAAGCCTCTTTATCGCAGTAGTTCCCCTTCGTTTGCATAGAACCCAGAGAGTTTCCTCCCTTCAATCGACTTCAGCGGGTTTTGCAACAGGGACAAATGGCTTAGTCGTTCAACCAGTCGTTGAGGGTTTTAGGAGTGGTTGATTCACAGGGATTATGTTGGCTGGGTTCCCCGCCTTGTCATTGTTCCTCTGATCATTATCTGACCTTTTATTCTGAATAGCCATAAATATTTCCTATAGTTTTGGGTGTTTTTTTTTTTTTTTTTTTTTCTTTTTTAAAAGGGAATCAGCCAGACAGTTTTCCATCTGAATTAAAAAAGAACGCCCAGCATTTACATGTGTTTACATGTGTCTGGTAACAGCCCAAACGCCCTCCTGCACGGTGCATTTTGCTGCTTTTTTCAGGTAACAGCAAAAGTTATTTTGTGAATCTAAGTCAACTGGACTGGATCTCCTGTGAATTGGTAGTCCAGCACTGAAAATTACTGAGCCAGATGCAATGTTCTTGCAACACAAAGCTCGAACATGTCATCTGCAGAAGCATTTCTGATGCTCATAGGCTCAGCAGTGCATGAACTTCTGCACCTTATATATGTAGATGCAGCATGATTTGTTTCTGCCTGTCTTTCTCTTCTTCCCACCCATCCTTGGTGCGTCCTTAGAGAAAACTCTCTAGCTCTCATCAAGATGAGCCACTGGTCTGACTAGATAGGGCATTTCTCATTTTCTTAGAAACACTCATGCTGACTACACTATTGCCAAAACCGACTAAGTTTACCCTAACTGACCTCTCTTACGCCAGGCCAGGCAACTGGTAGAAGTGATGCTTCTCCGAGACTGAGGGAAGCAGGGCCCAAGTGCTTGCACAGCGCAGGCTTCTCTTCTAAGAGTTGCCAGCAAACTCCAGCACTGTAGTTTCTTTACTCCGTTTCTGCTGTGCACCTCAATGCATGCTCTACCTGACCTGGACAGAAAACCTCCCAGGCACCGTTATTACTGCTGTGTCCTGTTTGTTCATCACAGCTTGCTCCAGGTACCAAGACGAACATTTTACAACCTACACAAAACTACTAACGTTTAATGACGTTAACCAGTCTCCAGATAGACCGATCGCCAAGTGTGTCCCGGCCCAGAGGAAGGACACTGGCTCTGAATGGAAAAGCGCACTCTGCGCCTATAGTGCAGCCAGGCCGTGACGCTTACCAACACCTCGATGCCTTGGTCCCCTTCCCCTGCAGGCCCCGCAGGAGCCCGCCACCGAGTTACCAAGCCCCCCCCTCGCCACCAAAGCCGGGAGGGTGAACGGGGCGGGCCCCGGCAGCCCCCGCCCCAGGCGAGACCCCCGCCCCGGCGTTCCCGCCGGGCCTGAACCCGCGTCCCGCCAGGCCTCGGCTGCCGTCACCAGGGCAACGGCAAGCGGCGCCCGGGGAAGGGGGTCACGTGCCCGGAAGCGCCTCGAGGGAGGAAGTGACGGAGCGGCGGGGAGCCCCACAGGCCAAGGTTTAAAAAAAAAAAAAAAAAAAAAAGGAAGAAGAGAAAAGGAAAAAAAAAAAAAAAAAAAGACTAAAAAGGCGGGGGGGTGGAGCCAACGGGGCGCGGCTCGCGCGTGTGAGCCCCGCCCCCCCTCGGGGCTGCCCCGCCAGGCCTCGGCCGGGCCGGCCCCGCCGGGAGCCGCCGCGAGGTAACACCCCCGGCCCCGCCCTCCCCAACAACGGGGCCCCCGGGCACCGCCCCGCCCCGCCCCGCCGGGGCCCGGCCTGGCTGCCCGCGCGCGGGGGGCGTGTCAGGCGGCGGCGGCGGCGGCCCGGGGGCTCCGGTAACGCCGGCAGCGCGGGTCCCTCGGGCGGGCGCGGGGAGCGGCGCCGCCGCGGCGGGAGCGGAGCGGGGCAGTGCCGCGGCGGCTGCAGGTGAGGCCGGGCCCGGAGCGCGGGCGGCTGCGGCGGGGAGAGTTCCCCGGGGCTGGGGCGGGCTGGAAGTTGACAGTGGCGGTGGAGCAGCCATTGTCTGCCCGGCCCGGCCCCGGGAGCAGCGGCCGGGAACGACCGGCTCTCGCAGCCCCCGCCTCTGCCTCCCGGGGCAGCCGCCGCTCTCCCCGCCGGCGGCCGGGCGTTAAACGCGCGCCTTTCTCTGGCTGCCTGCGGCGGGCATCCTGCGGCGGGTCCCCGCCTCCCGCCGCGGCGGGGCTGCGTGCAGGGTACATACGTGTTGCGAGCGGGCGGGCGAGCTGGGCGCTCGCACGCTCTGTCGGCTTAACTTTGCTGCCGGAGTTGCCGGCGGCCCGGGGAGGGGGGGGACGGGGGGGGGGGGGGGTTGGTGCTGCCGCCGCGCTGTGCCCGGTCCCCGCTCCCGGGCGCCTGCGGCCGCGCCGGCCGGGCCTCGAGGCGCCGGCCGGGGGGCAGGTGGTGCCGGGGTCCCGCCGTGCTCGGGGGTCGCACCTGCGGCTGCTTGCTGAGCATCCCAGCGCGGAATGAGCGGGTCCCGGCAGTTCCACACCTCGGCTTACGTAGCGTGGAGACCGTGTTGGAGAAGGCGACGGTGACAGAGCGAGGGCAGTGCTGTAGTCCTGGCTGCTAATTTTTCTCCCCCCCAAACCTGCGAGCAAATCTTACTTGTTTGCGAACTTAGTTTCTCAAGGATGAAGTAACAAAACCAGTCATAAAGTGAAAAAATGTTCCGCAGGCAGCAGTCACGTGCCAGGGGGAATGGATGGGGTGAGTGAGTAAAACTTTTCTGTCTCCTACCAGTCGTTCAGTGTGTACAGGAGGTGTTTGGCCTGGCTCTTCGGCTCTTGCGCTTGAGAAAGGTCTGGAATTTGTAGATGGGCCACCTGTGGTGGCCTTGGTGTGTGTTGAGATCAGCAGTGCAAGTTAGCTGTCCCGTGTTCTTGTGCTCACACTGCCTCGTGATCCAGTTTTCTCCCTTCTTTCCTTTCTGCTGTGCTCTTTCCTGCCATGGTGTTAGCAAGTCTTTGTATCCTTCCATCTCTCCCTTTTAGAGGTGCAGTTCTAGCTGTGGTTAATTTAGTCATGGCACATTGTTACTCTGGGGGGGGTTTTGTTTGTTTTTTTGTTTGTTTGGTGTTGTTTTGGTTTTTTTTTTTTTTTTTTATTTGCTTGGTAAGTAGTGCAAGGTGAGTTGGTTAACTCAATCTTTCAGAAAACCCATGGTTTAATAATTTTTAATGGGCTATTCATCCCATAGGCATCTAGCTGAGTCAAGTGATCTGATAGCCGGGTGATCGCTGGATTTTTGTAAGAGGAGGGTGCTGGAAGGTGCATGTGGAGAGGGGAGAGGGTGTAATCCATGCTATTTTGTGTGGAAATAGCCTGTGTTTGGATCAGATTACACTAACCTGGAGCTGCATCCTTAGACGAACTTGTCTGGGGAAAGACTGTGCCTTTTCACTTTTGTCTTTGGAAAGGATTTTGCTGGATAACCCTGCTTGCTGTGAGTGACTTAAAATTCTTACTGTCCTTCTGCAAAGGGGAGGTATCCCTTCCCCCAACAGGACTTCTACCTACATAGGGATCAAAATTTTTTGATTCCTCTCATCCCAGAGGTGGGATTTCAGTAGGGTTCTGTTTGTGCTAGGACCTGACTTTAAGAAGATCTAGATCAATGCGAAACTCTCAAAAATGCTGGAAAATGTAAGAATCAATAGTGCTGTTTACTGAGGAAACGCAAATTCGTGGAGCTGAGCACCAAGTCAGAAGCCAGGTTTCTCCTTCTGATGCAGCTGTCGCGGGTAGGGGTATGTGCTACAGCTAAATTGAACCTTAATTACCCTCTTTTCTCTCTCACTGGCACTTGAGGCATCACAAGTGAGCTAATTCAACTCATCCGGCAGAAAATGATGTTTAGGGTAGCTTTTCTGCAAAGGTAACGGGTTCATGTAGTGAGCACCACAAGCGAGGCAGATGCTGGGAGGAACCTGCATGGGGAGGTTGAGTGTGGGCAAGGGAACAGAAATTGTCTCCTAATGGTAGCCAAGCTACTAGATAACTTGGTGTAATGTGTGTAGTTTCACTCTGACTTGCATTTTAACCCCAGTCGAAGTACTTAATTTATCTACCACAGTTTTTCTTCCAAAATTATTCTTTCCCTTCTCTATTTATTTTCAGGCTTCACTTCTTGTGGTGCTGCCCCTGGGGAATATCTTTAAAGCAATTGACTTCTCCAGAGCTTTTATATTCTAGATAGGCACACTGACCAACTGTTTCTAGCTGTAGTAGAGTTGTGCCTGAAGACAGTAGGGGCCAGTTAAGAGGGAGTGTGTCTCAGTTGAGAAGATGACTGCAGGGCAGAATTACAACTGACGGCCACTGCTGAACAGTGAAGGAAGCCAGTGTTGGAATAGCAGGGAGATGCCTGGGCAGGACTTGAGGGTAGAGGTAAAGATATGTGGGGAAGACAGGACTGGAGCAGCAGTTACCTGCTTGTGAATTATAGAATTTTCCAGATTTTGAGGAGCAGGTTTGGAGCAGCAGCTCTCTGATTTAGCCAGGCATTCTCTGCAAAGTTCATGCTGTTGCCCTACTTTAAAGTCATCTGCTGCCCTTAACGCCATTCCCAAACTTAAAAAGTTGTCTGGTTGAGAGTACTGTTGCAGCTCCTTTTCTGTTGTGCTGGTCTGTTTGTTTATGCACCTGGAAAAAGTTGTGTTTGGTACAGGCTGTGAAGTTCAAAATCTCCGGATTTGAAAAGATCTAGATACGGGGGCTGTGCTGGTGCTGTGGGATCCTTGGAGTCCTAGGGATCTCATTTAGAGGCCTCTCAGCTATGTTGCAAGGGAGCCAGCTGGTGTTTTGGAAACAAACAGGCTGTCAGTGATATCGAGACTATCAGAATATTTTATTTTTTTTAATCTTGCATGGAATTATATCCTTGTAAGAAGTTGGTTTGTTTTTTTTTTTTTTAGTGGAATTCTGTTGAATAATAATTTTTGCGCTTTTCCTTTTCTGACTCTAACCTCTCCTGCTGTTACTGTCTCTGTAGCCCTTGTTCCTTGCTGCACAAAACTTCCAGATTATCCCAGTGTGTTACTCTTCTGCTAAGTACTCTCTCTGGTCTCGCTTCTCTTCCTCTTGGCTGATGAAAGCCTTCTCCCGTCCTTTCTCAGTCCAGATTACTGCAACTCATCTTTCTGCTGCTGGAAGATCTCTCTGGCTCTGCATGACCCCTTTAGCAGCTTTCCTCTTACAAGTGTTGCCACTGAACCCTTCATCCACTCTGCTTCTGACTCCTGAACTCCTGAAAGCAACTTGCCACCACAGATACCAGCTTCCAGCCTAATACTCAAGTTAGGATCAAGCAACAAGTAGCTGGATAGAAACAGCCAAGGGCTGGGGGCTAAACTGTGAGAAGGAGGAACCAAGTTGGTATATCCACAGTAGGGCAGCAGAGTTGTGGGATAATTATACCTCTTGTAGGACTGGAGGAAGAGAGGATCAGAAGTTTGCCCAAATGCAGTGGGAGACTGAAGCACAATGCAATTTACTTCAGTGCACTAGCCTCTCTTCAAGGAGAAGTGATCAGGTCTCTAACCAAATGATTGTCTGAATGAGCTGCAGCTGCTCCTTCACTCTTGCTGCCTTTTTAAGAGTTCAGGATGATGTAGCTTCCAACTGTAGCATGGCAATAAAAATATGAGAACATGTGTGTTACATTTCTGACTGGGGTAATAAAAGATTTAAACCATGAGTATAATTTCTGGGTGATTTCAGAACCCCAGCATCCCTGGTACCCTGTGATACAGCAAAGCTGTGCAAGGAGCCTGGTACTGGGATATGCCACTAAAAAAAGATGTGTAACGTAGTGAAATATGGTTTTGTTCTTTCTCTAGTCTGACTTAGTTTCCAATTCTTTCAATGTAGATCTGGAGTCTCTCTCAGACTGAGCTCCTGGGATCCTGTCACCATGGAGACTGAAAGTGAGCAGAACTCCAGCTCCACCAGCGGGAGCTCCAGTTCTGGAGGAAGCACCCGTCCTCAGATATCACAGATGTCTCTCTATGAGCGCCAGGCAGTACAGGTGAGATCCAGTTATGTTCTGGGGTGCCATGTACATCAGTGGAAAGTGGTGCTGAGCCCCTTCATGTTCCTCTGAGTTGTCATGTGTCAAGGTGGGAGCGTGCTCGAAGGACTGTCATGTTTTCAGATTTAGAAATTCTTGTTCTAGGCCTGCTGTTTAGTTCTGGTAGCCTGATACTGTGCTTCATGTTTTATAGGCTACTCTGCCAGTGTCCAGCCTCTTACATTTAATCTGTACTGTGATCCAATAGATTGATTTTAGCCTGCTGTTCTAGAGCAAGTTGTTCGGTTTATCATCCTAGTTCCTCTATATGGTGTATATTCTCCATATACAGACTATACTGGAACGCTTGTCTGTCTGCTTCAACATGCACATCCCAAATTCCTGGAAGTTTATTAAAGTCTTGCAAATGTGCTTCCTGCTGTCCTGGAATACATCTGTGATTCAGTCTGTTACTACATTTGTAGCTGTACTATGTATTTTGATGTGCTAATCTAGTGACTTTAAATTTTTTCTTGGGTTCTGGGGATGGTCTCAGGGCTGTGCTGGTTCCTCATTGTTCTTTCTAATCATTTAAAGGGCACGCTATTTTTGACAGTTGGGTTTTCCTCTTTCTCTAGGCCCTGCAGGCCCTCCAGAGACAGCCCAATGCAGCCCAGTACTTTCACCAGTTCATGCTCCAGCAGCAGCTTAACAGTGCCCAGCTTCACAGCCTGGCTGCAGTTCAGCAGGTGAGTTGCCAAGGGGCAGAAGGGGAGGAATTGGAGCATTCTCTGGAAAAGATCCAGAGATTTTCTCTTTATACAGTGACTTGTGCACTGAGGTCATCCGTATCCATGATGAGACCATGAGTCCCTAAACACGTTGTTTAAAGCTAATAAAAACAGCTAGTAAACTGGAAGCCTCATGCAAAGATTTGTTTGGTTTTCAGGTACAGAGCAGGGGAAGATAAAATTTGCCATCCCCATGGCAACCCCCTATTGCACTTCAGAGGCCTATGACTAGCCCCTGCACCTTTTTTAAATAAAAGATAGGTGGTTAAATCAGCAGTGGATGGAGTAGTGTTTAAAATCTGTATTAAAGTGAACAGTGGATTGTTACTTCTCTGAGAATAAACATGGTCTTAAATGCATGAAATTTCAGGCGGTATCCTCTGAATTTTCTGCCTTAAAAGTTTGTTTCTGAAAGCCCCTATTTTCTTTACCAGTTACTAGCAAGAGGGATCTGGGGTAGATCTTGTCCAGCCAGGAGGTTGTTTATTTAATTGAGATACGTTTATACAAATCAAGGTTGGTTTGGTTTTTAATGCATAATTGAGTGTTTGTTTTTTCTTTTCTTTAGCAAATTTGCTCACCTACCAGACTTTATCATCAGTTGAAGAAGGATTATGTGTGATGTGAATACTGTTCTGTCTGTGTAACAATATCTCCATCAGTAGCTGTGTTTCTTGGCTGTTAGTCCAGGGTTTAGTTGTTCTCAAAATCCCTACGTGCAGTTTTGTAGCATAGAGGGAATAGAATCCTCTCACCAGTTTTGCACAAATCTTAATTATAAAACTAACTAAACTTGTACAGTGGAATTCCTATGGGATCGTAGAAGGGGGGGGAAAAAGTATCTAACAATATTTACATTCCTCCACAAAACATATGTGCTGTAATTTGGAATTGGTTACTTGGAGTGCTATCATTGCATTGTTACTAAACTGCCTGACTACTCAAGAAAATTGTTAATATTGCAGAGAATGTCTGGGTGTCAGCGGTGGATTTGCAGCATCAGGATGAGGGTTGCAATGTGCAGCATGACAGGATGGGGCAACAGTAGGATATATATATATATATATATATATATATGCTGCACCTGATTTGTAGGGCATAGCAGAGATTTGTAGTGGTTAGATGGTGTTCTTCTCTGCAATGGAAGATGATGACGATGGGACTAGGTGTTCTGACAAAGCCAAATATTCGTGCTCGATTGAAAAGTTTGTTCCAGATACTCATTTCTCTGTCAATCTCTCTTGCAGGCTACAATTGCAGCCAGTAGACAGGCCAGCTCCCCCAACACCAGCACCTCGCAACAAACCACCACCACCCAGGCATCTGTAAGTAACCGTTCCCTCACACACATCAAAGCCACGCTCCCACCCCCACCTTGTTCTTTCCCCTCTTTGTCTTTTAGGAAGGTGGTCAGCCAGGGAAACGCAGCTTCTAAGAATGCTGGGAATCCACAAGATGCAGACAACTTTGAGGATTTGGGGTGCTATCATTGGTGGGGGTTCAGGAGACCAGAGAAAGTTTCTGAGTGGGAGAGGCCTCTTAGCTAGAAAGGTAGACAGTGATCTATTTGCTGAGGCTTTGGGGATACGTTGCATGGATTAGAAAATGATCAGGACTTCTTATAAGGAGGAGTCATGAGCAGCTTGAAAGGGAATGCTCTTCTTGGGCAGAGTAGTTGTGGAATGAGAAGTCTGATTTTGTAGTGAGTATTGAGGAACTGGGATTTGTTGAGAGAGTAGATGAGTTGGTAGGGTAGAGGTTACTTTGTGGGTTTTTTTCCTTTACTTGAGAAGCTGGAGAAAATTATGCATTGGTTTTGGATCTCTTAATGTAATTGCATGCTAAAAGTAATACTCAGGCTCAGCGTGCAGATGAGGTTAGCATCCAGGGCTTTGGCTAGTTTAGACTGCATAGCCTCTAAAACAAGAACTTTTTTCTTTTGGTTCCCTGTGGGATACAGGAAAAAACTGTAAAATGTCTGTTCTGACTGTACTCCAGTAAGTGAATTTGTACTTATTTCTTTGCCTCCATCTCTTCATATATGATTTGGGGCTTTTCTCTTTTAAGATCAACCTAGCCACAACATCAGCTGCTCAGCTGATCAGTCGGTCGCAGAGCGTGAGCTCCCCCAGTGCCACAACCCTGACACAGTCTGTGCTCCTTGGAAATACCACCTCACCGCCTCTCAACCAGTCACAGGCCCAGATGTATCTCCGGGTAAGCGATGTGTATGCAAAATGTGTCCTGACCATGAATCCTGCTTCCTAGCCACCTCAGTGTTTCACTGCTTGAGATTACCAGCACCTTTGGACTAACTCTAGCTTTAAGGATGATGCACTCTATTTTAAATTCAGATGGGGAAGCTCTTGTCCCTGAAACCAGAAGCTTGACGCTGGACTCAGCTTCTGAAGGTAGATGAGCTTTGTATTGTGTGGCTCAAGTGAGATTGTTAGAGAACTATGTTTGTCTCTGCTCTGCATAGATGTTAAAGATCCCATGGCACTTCTTACTAGAGCGTAAATGTGAAATATATGTCCTAGACTTGAATATAGTTTACAGAAATAAAGCTACCCTTCTGATTCAGTGTTAGAACAGATATATGGTAAATTACGCTCTTCTACCACTGCTAAGCTCAGGGACATAAGTCAGAATTCAAGTAAGTCTAGAAACATAAATCAACATGAACAAATGTGTCATCCTTTTAATAGCTTTCAAGTGCTGCTAAATAGAAAATGTCAGGCTTGACTATATCGTCAGTCTGGGGTTTGGTTACCTACTTGAAAAATATTTTCTGTGTTTCAGATGACTTTAGATACAGATTGTAATCCCCTTCTTTTCATGCAACCCTGGTCTTGGATGTATGTCTTTTATCACTGTTTCTCAACCAGTCTCAGATACACATCTGAAAAGCCAAGCATAACCCAGTCTTTGAGCCAGCATTGGCCAGTCTGGGAGTTGATCCAGGCCCATGTTTGATCGAAGAGTGTTTGTTTCCATAAGGAAACTTCTCAGTTTTCTGCTCCTGAGGGTTACATTCAGTATTACAATGCAGGGAGGGTTGGGGGTTTTGCGGTGTGTTATATTGGCAGCCCAGTGTTGCTTTTGTAATCTGTTTGCTTGTGGTTCGCTGTCTTTCTTTCTTTCTTCCCCTCCGTTCCTTTCATTCTACGTCACCTGACCCTCCCTCAACAGCCACAGCTGGGGAACTTGTTGCAGGTAAACCGGACCTTGGGCCGCAATGTGCCTCTTGCCTCCCAACTCATCTTGATGCCTAACGGGGCTGTGGCTGCTGTCCAGCAGGAGGTACCACCCACTCAGTCTCCTGGGGTCCATGCAGACACAGACCAGGTCAGTGACACCTCCCTCCCAGAGTCCTGCTCTCTGTCACCCCACACTCTGGTCTTGGTCTCCAGCTATCCTTGTATAGCAGATTAGCTCTATTTTACCCCCAACCTGTGTGTCCCTGTGCAGGCAGGAGATTCTGTTCTCTCTCGCCACTGTTTTTTTTTTTTTTTTTTTTTCATGTTTGCTTTTTGCCTCCAGAGATGGAATTAATTTCTGCTTAAAATTTCTGGGATGAGCCACAGGCTGGATCAATCCCATCTTTACAGTTTCTCAGTTGTCCTTGTGTGAAAACAATCGTTCAACTCTGTGTCCAGTTTTCAGTCACTCTGCAATGAAGAGTCTTTGCCAGCAGTAGTATTCCTTCACCCAGTTGGTTTGTTGTTCTAAAGATGCCAAAGACAGAACAGGCCATAAGGTCTTAGCTCCTGCATTCATCTCTAAGTAACTCCAGGGAGCTGCCATGGCTTCCCATTTCCCTTGTCCTACACCAGTCATTCTTGGGATTTCCAGTTACTTCCTATTTTTGTTGTCTGGAGCACTTTCTTTGAAGGCAAGTCAGCCATGATCAAACTTGGAAGATAACACTGCATTTGGAGGAGGAGTAAATATACAGAGGATGGCAGCATCAGAATGCAGAGGAACTGGTGAAATGATAAGGGCTGCAGGCTGGCAGATCTGTGGACCTGCTGAGTGAAAAACCATGCACAGGGGGAGGAGGCAGGTGGCACAAAAATTGGAAAGGAATGATTGGTCTTTAAAGGGGTATCTCAGCTCTTCTAGAGCCGTGCTAAACTGAGTGCTAACAATGCAAAGGCATGGCAGGCAGGTGTGAAGGCTGTCCCGTGCCTCAGAGAATGGCTGTGTCCTCATGTGCTGTTCAGAAAGTGCCATGAGGTCTTTAACTTCCATCAGAGATGGGGCAGGAGGGAGTTCAGGATCATGTGTTCCCTGGGGAGGGCTGTGCCTGAGCTTTGCCCTGCAGCGTTAGCCAGCTTCCCACATGAGACTTGAAGCATCAACTTCGACTGCATGCCAGTGGAGTGTGTTGCTTATGTGTTCTCTGCGAAACTTTCAGCAAGTAACGTATGTGAAGCAAACTGATTCTGTCCTGTATGTGTGTTTCTAGGTGCAGAACTTGGCTGTGAGGAGCCAGCAGACCTCTGCCGCTAACGCCCAGGTCCAAGGCTCTGCTCAGAAGGCAGCTCTGCCAGGAAGCTCCCAGGCTTCGGGTTTACCGCAGGCCACCGGCACGGGCCAGACCTTGGCAGTGGCTCAGGCTTCCTCTGGCAGTGCGGGCCAGTCCCTTAACTTGAGCCAGGGGGCAGCAGGCAATAACGGTGTCGCTGGGGGTGTGGTGGCGAGTGGTGGGGGCCAGACCTCAACAGGATTGAGCCAGACCTCGGCAGGTGCCGCTGGCAGTTGCCAGAGGAAAGGCACAGGGGTGGTTCAGCCGCTACCGGTGGCAGCTGCCCAGGCCGTGACTGTCAGCCAGGGAAGCCAGACGGAGACAGAGAACGCAGCCACAAAGAAAGGCGAAACGGACGGCGGCGGACAGCAGACGGTGGGCATGAACCTGACCAGGACTGCTACACCAGCACCCAGCCAGACGTTGATCAGCTCAGGTAAGTGCAGACACGCTCTGCGAGCCCACTAGGCCTTCACAAGAGTGCCATTTGAATGCCTGGTGGTGAGAGGTTTTCCTACATGCCTCTAGGCTCCTGGAGGCTTGTCTCTAGGGGTTATCTCTCTCTCTTAGCAAGAGAAAGTTGATTTAGTCCTTCATGTGTCCTCTACCAGTAAGCTGTCAGTCATTTTGGAGCTTAATAGCTCAAACCAGTTCAGTGTCTGCCTGCCTTTTTTGTTGTTCCGAGCTGCACTGTTGCTAACTTTTGTGCTCTCCTCTCTTCCCGCTCTGTGTTTGCATAGCCACATATACACAGATCCAGCCACACTCGCTGATCCAGCAGCAGCAGCAGATCCACCTGCAGAAGCAGGTGGTGATCCAGCAGCAGATTGCCATTCATCACCAGCAGCAGTTTCAGCATCGTCAGTCTCAGCTCCTCCACACGGCCACCCATCTTCAGCTGGCCCAACAGCAGCAACAGCAGCAAGCACCGTCTCTGGCCCAACAGCAGCAGCAAGCTCAACCTCCGCAGCAACAGGCTCCACCTCAAAACCAGCAGCAGGCTCAGACCCTTGTGGTGCAACCTATGTTGCAGTCCCAACCACAGCCTGTGCAGCTCCAGCAGGACAGTCCTTGTCAGCCAGCCACCAAGTCACCTGTTCCAATTCAGTCAAAATCTCTGGTCACCCCTGTCAAGCCACCTCAGCTTGGGCCTGCCAAAATGTCAGCAACGCAGCAGCCTCCACCACACATCCCAGTGCAGGTGGTGGGCACTCGGCAGCAGGGCTCAGGCCAAGCTCAAGCACTGGGTTTGGCTCAGATTGCTGCAGCAGTGCCGACATCCCGGGGAATGCCAGCCGTGGTCCAGCCTGTTTCCCAAGCCCACACTGCTTCCCCATCATCATCTTCAGCTCCAGCATCCTCACAGGAAGCTCCTCCTCTCACCACAGGGGTGAATTTGGCACAGGTTCAAGGCACAGCCCACATGGTGAAGAGCCCAGCCTCCTCTCCAGTTGTGGCTCAGATGCCAGCAGCATTCTACATGCAGTCTGTCCAGTTGCCAGTAAGTGATACCATTGAGAAGGAGAATAGCATATGGATTCTCTTTGTTCATTCCTAGGACACCAATCGCAGTCCAGGCCCAGGTCAGTGGGATGGGATGGGTAAAGGTTTGGGTAAAGGGATGTGGAGGCTTTTTCCTCTTGAAAACACTAATTCCAATCCAACCCTTGGGGTTACTGACTACAAGCATCTCTCTTCAACATTATCATTCAAAGGCTTGCGTGAGGTAAATAGGTGAGACTCAGACCCTGCCCCAAATGGAGTAGGTGTCCACATGGCATAGTAGATATCATCTTGAACAATGTGGCTGGTTGACCTTGCCTGGCTGCCACCAAGCTGCTTTATCACTCCCCCTTCACAACAGGACAGCAGGATTAAAATACAACAAAAAGCTTGGAGGTCAAGATAATGATAGGGAGATCATTTACCAATTACTGCCATGGACAAAATTAGGGAAATTAATTTATTGCCAATTAATCAGAGTAAGATAATGACAAATAAGAACAAATCTAAAAAAACACTACCCCCCCTTCTTCACAGGCTCAACTTAATTCCTGACTCTTCTACATCCTCCCCCTGAGCAGTGCAGGAGGATAGGGAATGGGGGTTGTGGTCAGTTCATAATGTTTTGTCTTTGTGACTCCTTCCTCCTCACACTTGTCCCTTTTGCTCCAGTGTGGGATCCCTCCCGTAGGAGACAGTCCTTCATGACCTGCTCCAGTGGGGTTCCCTTCCATGGGGTGCAGTCCTTCAGGAACTGAGTGCTCCAGCATGGGTCCCCCACAGGGTCTCAGGTCTTGCCAAGACCCTGCTCCAGCATGAGCTGGCTTTCCACGGGGTCACAGCTTCTTTCAGGGTACATCTATCTGCAGGAGGACAGCCTGCCTCACCCCCTGGTCTTCACCACAAGCTGCAGAAGAAGCTCTGCTCTGGTCCCTGGAGCACCTCCTCCCCTTCCTTCACTGACCTTGGTGTCTGCAGAGTTGTTTCTCTCATGTGTTCACATTCCTCTCTCCCAGCTGCTGTTGTGCTGTATTTTTTCCCCTTTCTTAAACGTTATCACAGAGGTGCTACCAACACTGCTGATGGGCTTGGCCTTGGCCAGCAGTGGGTCTGTCCTGGAGCCAGCTGGAACTGGCTTTATCAGACGTGGGGGAAGCTTCTGGCATCTTCTCACAGAAGCCACCCTTGTAGCCTCTCAGCTATTCAAATCTTGCCATGTAAACCCAATACAAAGAATAACTGGCCTCTTTGTTGTCTCTCTCAGAAGAGAGATGAGAGCTGAGTGGGCCGTGAAGACTGAACCTCCCCTCTCCTCACTAAGTGTGGATACCTCTGGGTCAGAGACCCTTTGGTGTGTGGTACCAGCCACTGACTTGAGGCCTCAGAGCATCCCCTAGCAACGGGGTATGCAGAGGGAAACAAAGATGGCTCGTGTCCCGCAGGCCTCATCCATATACTGCTGTGAATTGTCCAGCTAGGGCCTGCCTAACGAACGCCCTGTGACAACAGCGCTTAGCCAGCTCAGATATCCTGAGCCAGTTGCTGAGACCATTTATAAACTCTGGCTGCCTCTTCAGGAAGGTGTCACAGGATTTGTCTGATTTTTTTTTTTTTTTTTTTTTTTTTTTTTAGAATAGCGGGACAATTCTGTTCTTATCCAACATGTGGCCCCTACTCATTTGACTTTCCTTCATTGAAACTGATCTGATTTAGCCAAAAGCCTGTTTGAAGACTGCTGGGTGACTGCCATTCCATTTCTTCCTGGAAGCCTCTAAGGTTCACACAGTGTCTTGATATCAGTATATCAGTGTGAATTAGGATAACGGATCCTAGTCATAGTGGTGTGGTAGTGAGTCTTCTGAAGTTTTGCTTGCTGCTAGGCAAATTTTCAAAGTGGAAATATGTACTGTGAAGGAGCTTGAGGCATTCCCAGGAGAAGGAACCAGTCTGGAAATGAAATATGATGGAGAGGGATGCATCTTCCTTTTGCCTTTGATATGTGGTGTTCTTTGCTTTGGAGCTCCTCTTTCTACTTACGTATTCCTCTTTACTCACACAGGGCAAGTCTCAGACCTTATCGGTAAAACGCAAGGCAGAGTCAGAGGAGGAGAAGGAGGAGTCACCCAGTGTCACTACACTTCTGCCTGCCAGGTCCTCTCCTGTGACAGAGAGCCCCAAAAACACGGAGGAGAAGGGTGGCCTTGGAGGTGAGGTACAAAGGAGAGCTCTGCTTGTGTGTGCTACTTACCTGCTCTCATATTCCAGTTGAAGTAGATGGAGCAAAGGTAACCGACTCTTATGCTGTTAACTTTCCAGATAAACCTGATCCCGCTGCCATTGCAACCCCAAATACTGCCTCAAGTGAAGGAGCATCAGTGACTCCCACCTCTGCTCCCACCCCAAACCTGGCAATGATGTCACGTCAGATGGGAGACTCCAAACCCCCACAAGCCATCGTCAAGCCCCAGATCCTCACGCACATTATTGAAGGCTTTGTCATCCAGGAAGGAGCAGAGCCCTTTCCGGTAGGGATTCTATGCTGTGGGAGGAAGGACATGTAGTACTCTCTTGGGAAGGTGGTGAGCTTCCATCTCTGGACAGGAGTTTCTTGCCCCATATTCCAACTCGGCATTTTCAGCCTGAGACACAGACAGTGAAGAGGAAGGGAAAGGAGGAAGGTGTCATGCATGAAGCAAGGCATTAAAGAGAATGGGTTGGAAAGAATAAAACATGCGTGATGGGAACTGTTTTCTCCAGTAGTCACCAAAGGAATAATTTATGCAGGAATGGTAAGAAGGTTCTTCTCTCTGATTTCTAGCGAGGAAAAGATGTACTGCATTTTGAACAAATGGCAAGTGAAGTTAAAGCAAATAAGGGTAAATGCAGTTACATGGGACTGCGGGATATTTAAGGCAGATAGTACTTGGTGATCTTTGAATGAACTGCCAAGCCTGTGGGTCAGGAAGGAGTAGTAATTTTGTTTAGCAGCTCTCCATCCCTAGTAGGCAGAGGGATTCTTCTGAGCTGTATTAAGATATGAGCGGCATACACCTCGCAGAGGGCAGCAGACACAGAGAATCCTTTACTGATGGCCCACCTCTCTCTTCCTGTCCAGGTTGGTTGTTCGCAGCTGCTGAAAGAATCTGAGAAACCACTGCAGGGGGAGGCTCCTTCTTGCCAGAGTGAAAACCTGTCCAGCAATTCTCCAGGCGGGGACAGTGCTTCTACGGGTGAGTTTCAGCACCAGGAGTCCCAGCTAGTGTCACTGAACGTTTCCGTTCTCTGATAACTGTATTACTAACTTTGTACATTACAGACCTGTATCTCCTCTTGCCTTCTTCCTAACTCCTTAGAGACCCAAGCTATGAACCTAGGATCTCTTGGGTGCCAGAAGACAATATTTTTTTGTTGTTAATATGACCTAACACACCATGTGTCAGTAGTAAGCAGGAGAATCCGATTCTGAAGGCTGTGAAGGATATGTGGACACAGCAGAGTACAGTGATGGAGATTTCCTGCACAGCCTTGCAGGATATGAGTGATATGCTATTTCTTGATTGTCAGTACTGTTTTGCTGAGCAGGGAGAAACAAACTGCTGTGTTCAGTATCCTGGGATCTTAATTAGTGGAGCTTCTACCTCTCTTCCCCCAGCTTCTTCCCCAAGCTAACTGCTTAGTAGATTCAGTAGAGAACAGTGCTTGGAATCTGTCTGCTCAGAAGAGCAGTGGAATGGGGAATCATTGTGTGAACTTCTGCTTCAGTTCAGATGATCAACTGGTGTGTATCTGTATCTCACTAGAGCTTGATAAGAAGGCAAACTTGCTGAAGTGTGAATACTGTGGGAAGTATGCCCCAGCAACCCAGTTCCGTGGCTCCAAGAGGTTTTGTTCCATGACCTGTGCTAAAAGGTAATAGCAAGACATAATCTTCGTTTCTCTGACTATACATTCAATGGAAATGGGCATGTGCCCTTCCTCCAGGTAGCGTATGACTCTTCAGTACATCTTATCCTCCCTCCATGGGATGCACTGGCCACGGAGATCCTTTAGAACTCCAAGTGATTTGTGAATGATTCTAGGTCTGGAGGGGTGGATGAGGTGGTTGAGTGTAAACAGGATTTCTGACTTGCTCAGAAAATGAAGTGGGAAGGGGGAAGTTCTAGGGCCCCAAAGAACCTCTCCAATCAAATGTACATTTGGCTGACTAAACAAATGAGTACTGGTAGCTGCCTGCTGCATCGGTACTAGACAAAGACACAAGGGAGCATTGGAGAAAAACCTGGGGAGAAGTTAGACTAGTCATTGCTGTTTCTTATTGATAGCAGAGTGTATGTTATGGGTCTTTTTTCCCTTAGGGGAATGACTTAATAGACCCTTCAGATGTTAGATCAAGACTTCAGTGTCCAAATATTGCTTGTATCAGAAGTCTGGACTGGTTTCTTCCAAGGGGAAGTCTTAGAAGGAGGAGAAACAGAACTGGATGCTAGAGGAGTTTTAGCCCCATCTAGAGAAAGGAGAAGCAGGTTTTAGGTAGTTGCTGTTTCCTAACTGTTGCTGTGCTTCTACTTATTTAAGGTACAATGTCAGCTGCAGCCATCAGTTTCGGCTGCAGAGAAAGAAGATGAAGGAATTTCAGGAAGCTAACTACGCTCGTGTGCGCCGACGGGGACCACGGCGCAGCAGCTCTGAAATTGCTCGAACGAAGATCCAGGGCAAGCGCCACAGGGTAAGGACACAGTCCTGTCTGCCTCTGTCAAGGCAGGCCTCAGGGTAAAAGTTGTCACTGTTGGATGTGCCACTTTCTCACAGTGGATGTAGTCGTTGTACAGAATATGTCAAGTGCACACTGACACAGTTGTTACACAAGACACGGTGAGCTGTTCTGATCAACTGGAGAAAGTGGATTCACATTTGTATTTGTTCTGTTTACTCTGTGTTCACCCCTGCGTGTGTCTCAGAGGTCTCAGCAAGTGAGATCAGCTGACAGACTTGGTAGAAAACAATCCACTTTTCCCATTTGATTGGCATTGTTCCACATGAATGATTTGAACCAGATTACAGAAGAAGCAAATGAGCTTCAGTGCTGACATGAGGAAGAGAAATGGAGTGGGCGAGGATGGGGAGAAAGAAGAGGGAAGGACATGAGAGTAAAGCCTCTCCTTTCTGGCATCAGGGAGTTCTTGTGTCAGATATGCCTGGACCAACAGCCTGAGACAGCTGTCCCAAACTGTTGGGACAACTGCTGTTCCCAGTGTCTTGTTTTGCACCTAGTAATTGTGAATTTCTTTCAAAACACCTTTTGTTTTCTTTCTTTCCTATGGGCTTGTAGGGCCAGGAAGACTCAAGTCGAGGCTCTGATAACTCCAGCTATGATGAAGCCTTGTCCCCTACATCTCCAGGACCCCTGTCAGTAAGGGCCAGTCATGGAGAGAGGGACCTGGCAAACTCCAGTATGGCCCCACCTACCCCAGATCTACATGGCATCAACCCAGTCTTCCTGTCCAGCAATCCCAGTCGTTGGAGTGTGGAGGAAGTGTACGAGTTCATTGCATCACTGCAAGGTGAAGTTAAGATCCTTTCCTGCACTCATGTGATCCAGGAGCATGGGAAAATTTGTTGTCTCTCTTTCTGGAAAGAAAGTGGTGTCAGTGGTTGCCTAGTGCTTTTATTGTACTTTTGTACGTGGTTCTGAATTGGAGTAGGTCAGAGAGATGACTTGTAAGCCTGTGTCCTCAGACAGACTGTGGACTAGAGCGGGGAGGGGGGTTGGTTAAATTCCTAGCTTGCTTTCTGTACTTGCCAGAGGCCCAAGGGGTTGGGAACAAGGGGAATGGCCAGGGCACATCTGTTTCTCAGTGCTGTTTTTTTGGTTTCACAGGGTGCCAGGAGATTGCTGAGGAGTTTCGATCACAGGAAATTGACGGCCAGGCCCTGTTGCTTCTGAAGGAGGAACACCTCATGAGTGCCATGAACATCAAGCTGGGACCAGCTCTCAAAATCTGTGCCAAGATCAATGTCCTCAAGGAGACCTAACAGCTCTGAAGCTGGAGGTCTCACCTTAGCTCTGACCCCAGGGCAGCTGCCAGCTTTGGAGCATCCTGCTGGAGCAGGGAAGAATAGGACAGTCCCCTGTGGTTTTGCATTCAAGAATGAGATAACTGATTGAAACTGCCATGCACAAACCCATGTCTTGGTCTCTTAATGGTGCTACAAGGGGGAGGAAAACTCCCACCCGGGGCCTTGAAACAACCTTCCTTCTTCCTGATTTGAATAAGCCTCTCCTGTATACCGCACGAAGGGGACCTCTTTCTGTCTTAGCAGACTTCCGAAAGGGAATTCCTCTCGCCCTTTTTTGCTACAGCAGATCTGCTAGATCTGTTTTCAATCTCACTGTGCCAGAACTTGAGGCATAGGAAGAGCCAGCCTCACATGGACATTGGGAATAGGTGTTCTTTGGGTGTTCCAGAAGGGGAACTCGTAAATTCCAAGTGACAGCAGTGGACAAACAAGAGTTTGGGCAAAAGGGGCTGCTACTGTTCCACTCTTAAAAAAAAAATACCTGGGCTGCTTATGAACTGGGTTTAATAGCCATTCCAGCATGCATACCAAACTTGAAGGCCTGTGGCAATAGGAGCTGCCTTAGCTTTACGGTCTCCTGTAGAGATGCAGTCTGAAGACAAAGTGTTGTGGCAGCTATCCACTCCAGATGTTCCTCTCTGAACCAGTTAGAGGAGGATTTATCCTGAGTACTTATGACAAGATGATGGGAAAATTGATGGGGAGGGGGGAATTATCTTACATTAGGGAACCCTGCAGCACTAGGTTTGTCTCCCCATTGTACTAGGGCATAACTTACAGATCCAAAGCAGTCTCCAGAAGCGCCAGGGCTCTTCCTAAAATGGGCTGGGTTGGTTTTCTTTGGTGTGTTTTTGTTTGTTGGTTTGTGGTTGTTTTTTTTTTAGTTGTTGTTGGGTTTTTTGTTTGTTTTTTTTTTTTTTTAGTTCTCTTATCAGTTTGTATTATTTTTGTGTCTGTCTTCATTATCCTCAGGACAGCTGATGGCACAAAGTTTAAGCTGGCAGGGTTGTATTGTCTGCCTCAGGCGCCTTTTTTTTTTGTTGGTATTGTAAAACAAATATTTTTCTTCCTCAGTTAAAAACAAAAAAACAAAACCACACCCTCCAACAACTGAATACTGATCCTTTAATCCTACTTCTTTGAAAGGGGTAGAATTGTGTTATAGGTTGAGTTCCCTCCTTTTCAGCCCCTTCAGGTTTGGTTTTTTTAAGGACCAAATGTGGTATTCTGAAGTTCTGTAACCAAATTGCCAAAGGTGAAAACCTGGACAGAGTTATTCTCTTCCAGAAGCACCTCTGCTTCAAACAAACAAGCAAAAAAACGGAAGAAATTACACAAAGCATGAAGAGGTAAGTGCCCCCTAGAGTCAAATATCTGAAAGCAAGATGATTTTATACACCGTGTGTCTCAGCTTTTCTGTTTTCAGAAGTTTCATGTGTACATTTGAATGAAACCTAAGACAGTTCTGTGTGGAAAGCACCTACTGTTGTAGGAAAGCTAGAGTGGCATGGGAGGAGGCCTAAGAAAACAGAGGCAGGTAAGAAAACATTAGACATCTTTGGAATGGGCTCTTTATTGACCCATGTTAGAAAAAGAAAGGAGGGAAAGTGCTTAGAAGATGGATAACATGTAGCGGCAGCTTCCTAGTCTTACGTGTCTGTTGAATCTCACTTTCATGACATCCTTTGTCCTGTGAGAGACTTCTGAGGCTTCTTGAATTAAAATAGGCCCAAAGGAAGCTGCCCATGCTTGCACCCCGATACCACTCTTTGGTCTGATGTAATCTGGGAGCAGGAAAGGATGGTTTAGAATCTCTAACAGCAATCAGCGGAGGAAGGCTGCCCTTAAGCCATTTTATCCATAGCAGGCTGGGTGTGATAAAACTCCCATTGAGTTTGACCCTTGGCAGGGTAGGCAGGCAGCTAGCCTGCCTATGGTACTAGCTACTTCTGAGGACCAGGTTTTATTTCAGTCAAATCAGAAGGCTTCACTTCTTCATTTCATGTTCAGTGTTCTTAATAAAAAAAATGCTTGTTCAGGCTTTGCAGCTCTGGCTACTTTTTAACCCTTCTCCACAACATTAACGTAGTGTTTGCGAACTACAACCATCAGTTACTGTTGATTTTTATTGTTGCAGAAATACAGAGTGTAAGAAACTTTTCCCATCCATAACTACCTGAGCTTTTAAAGTTTCAGTTTTGAAAGATGTATATACCCTTCCCTCTTAAGCCCTAAGAGAACTGGAGTTATTCAAAGTGGCAGCAAAAATCACGTACTAACAAGAAGAGATCCATTCCTGGCAAGAGTCTTTCAGGCACAAGGCACTACACACACCGAGGATCCTTCACCCTTGGGTATATAAGATGCTGGCACCAAAGAAAGCCCTTGCTACAACAGCACAATGTTTTACCACATTTTTGGGTCACTTTATTTCTGAAAGTTGTGTTTTGTACAAAAAAAAATTACCTTAAACACCACCATGAAAAACTGTAACAACAGACTTGGCGACTTCCTCTTTTTCCCCATGTGATGAGAAAGATCGAGACCATAACAAGTCAAAGCAGGAAATGTTTGCCCACTCTATACCCAGCAAGAAAGCAGGGTCAACTCTTTTCCCTCAGTGTCACTGTTTGGACTGCTTTGGCAGTACTAAAAACACACGAACCTTGTCTGTACTCTGCTGTTAACAGTAGTGGCTTGCTTATTCACAGTTCTGCCCTCAAGACTGAGGACAGTTCTCTGCCAGTCTACACTAGGGCAGAATGGGGTTGCTTAGAGTCTAGACCCTCAAATAAAAAGGAACTAGGAATCAGTGTGCCAAGTTCTGGAAGGTTCCCATTAATTCGTACAACTTGGCTATACCTGCTTTTCAGCAGGGCCTCAGGAGAAAGTCTCTCACTCCCAGCCAGTAGCAGTAAGTACCATCTGCACAGGGCAAGTGTCTTAAGACTGGTCTGCACCATGCTTAAGGGGCAAGTGATTTATGAAAGCTGACCCTGTCAGAGAAGCCTCTTATGCAGTTTTTAGTGTGTTAGCATTCTTATCCCGGGCTTCTATGGTTCCTTTTTTATAAAAATAAATTCTGGTAGCTTTATGGGAAATCCCTCTGCCAAACAAGGAAGTTTTGGAGAGCATGAAATCACAATGCTGACAGTGACTGAGCTGTGTGGGCAGTCACCTCAAGAAGCTTGTAACAACTCAAGTGGCAACTAACTGTCCCATTTTGCCTCAATGTCAGTTCCAGCAGATGTTCCCCTTACTTAGACACACATTATTTCCTTTTGCTTCTCAATGGCTGAGAAGTCTGAGACAATATTTTGACTGAACTGGAAAGCCACAAGACTGTATTTAACTCCTACAGTTTTTAGCATTGCCCTTCTCCAGTCTGAGAGGGTAGCATGCATCCCTTTACATCTGTTGAAGAAAATGGGTGTGCACTCTTCAACATATAGCCATTAGGAAAAGAAAAGACTGCAGAGGTGCTAATGCCTCTTCCACCCTCATGGTATCTGGCACTAGAGCACCCTGTGCAAGTTATGCTAGCAGAAACAGTGCATAACAGTGCAGAAGCTAGAAAAGCTGAAAACGCATTCAAAAAAGAAATCCAGTGTCTTACAGATCCTGTAAACCCTAGGGGAAAAAAAGAAAGAAAAAAAGAGACACAGAAGAGATCCCTCCTACAGTCTCAGCTGTTTTAACCCATGGCCTCCTTTTGCTTCCCTGTTCTGCACCTTTTCGTGGCCCTTTTTTCCTCTCAGTGACTCATCTCCCATTCCTGCTCAGTGCTGAACGCTCATGTTGCTTGCTTTTTTATTTCTACTCAGCTCTCAGCACTTTCCCCTCTTCCAGCTCTGGTGCATTTTTAAAGACCTAGAACAGCATTATATTCACAAGACATACCATCAGGGACCAGTGCTGTTCACACCCAGAGGCATCCATGGGACTTGACACACCAGAGACAGCAAAAAGCAGTGTAAAGAAAATCAGAAGTGAGAGAAGGAGAACTGGCTGGGAGGCACCCGGCTAAACAAGCACTGGGGAGATGGGGAGAAGAAAACTCAGTGCTGAAAGCCTATCACATTGGTAGCAAGTGGTCATCCCGTTCTTCTGACTCCTCACCCAGCTGGTCATCACCCACACCACGGTATGCAGCTGGTGCATTTCGAGGCTTAGATCGGCAGACAAAGTCACAGCCATCCTACAAGCACAGGATATTGCACCGGAATCAGACTATATGCAATTGACTCGGCATCCAAAGCAAAGCAGCTTCTGTGATTTTTGCTATGGGAGTATGCCTGCCCCTGTGCTATCTGGGACAGGTCCCCAAACTTGTCTTGAGGATAGAAACACACACACAAACACCCTACTTAGTCTTGAAAGTTCTGGGCATACTGATATTCAGCAAGATCAGACCGAGATGAGCATGGAGGATAAGCGGCACTGCCTATGGTGACCAAGGAAGGATTTCAGGGAGTCGCACAGGAACATTTCACAGTCCCCAGCTTAACATTCCTACCTGAAAAGTGTTAGCCACTAATGAGCATGTGTTCTAGTTTGTTATGTGGTCCTTGCAGGATAATGGCAGGCAATCAGACCCAGAAAGGATTCCAAAATAGAGTATTCAAGGGAAAAAAAAAAAAAGCAACAACAAAAAAACAAACAGATGGTCACCTTTTCTGCCTCAAGGTACATTACCCCTGTGGTAGGTCTATCCAAGACAGATAGTCCACAAAGACAAGCATATACCATTTTCTCCTGTCCTAATACATATGGGCCAAGCTGGGAATATACAGGGATTTTTCACTCACCGCCACCAAATTGCCCAGATCTTGCCAGAAGGCAAAGTGAGGAAACTGCTCCATGCCTTTTGCTCCCACTACAAGGCGCTGGTAGAGGAACCCACCAATGATGTAGACTGCAATCACTGAAGCAAACCTGGAGGGAAGAATTAAAAATCAAAGCTGAGTAAATCCTATAGACAATCTCTTCTGAGCCAGCTACCTGCCTCAGACTGGTATTGGAGCAACAAGTTGAGCACCACTCATGAACAGAGCTATAAATAGAGACCAGACCAGAAAAGGTCCCCAAAATATTGATCTGCTAGTAGAAATCTTTCAGCAGCATTACATGAAGTAGTGCCTCTAAGCACAAACACCGAAAATGAGTCAAGACTCCTCCTCTGAATTCCAAACTCTGGCAAAGAGCTGTTGTACAATTTTAGGAAATCATGTCTTCCATGTTTCAGTGCACTTGTCTGTACACCACGAAGGAGGACTACAGGTCTACAGGGAACAGAGTTGCTCTGCAGCTTTGAGCTAGAGCTTTTGTCCGAAAAGCTCAGAAGTGTAGTAATATCTAATGGTGTCTGTGAACACTACAATTATCTAATCTAGTACAGCATTTGCTATGTTTCTAAATGGCACTGGAGATTATAGCACAGACATGAACAGCTCTTCCAATGACTCACGTGATCAATAGAATGGAACCAACGCTGAGATGCGAATCCTCAGCTGGACAAGCCACACTGCTGTCCATCTCAAAGAGGTAGAAACAATCCTGCTCCTTTTCCCGCTCTTCTGAAATAATGCTGAATGAACTCTGCAATGTGGGAGAAGTTAAGTCATGTGAAAATAGGCCCAAGCACGCTGAACTTCACCAGAAGACAGTTTTATCACTGTTGATGCAACAGACACTGGAGGACAGAAGAAAATCTTGCTGCCTCCTCAGAGCCCTTCTGCTTATAAACAACTGTTTGTCTGGCAGCCTCCTGCTCCTCTCCCACCTCACGTGTCACTCACCGCTGTAACTCCCCGCTTGCAAGAAATCATTATCACAGCTCTTCTCTTCTCACCACTGCAGTGCCTGCCATATGAATCACCTCCTTTATAAATCAGCATGATCCAGTCACCTGCCAAGAAACAATACAGGCTGCAAATCCAGATCAGGAGCTGAAAGGCAGCCACTGAGTAAGAAAAGTTTTGAGTGGACTCTTACTTCCATTGAAGACCTGGGTTTCATTGATCCTTCCTATCACTGTGGTCTTGCCACTCTGTCTATCTGTTTGCACCAGGCCACCAAAATCATGCAAGGTGCTGTTGATCTCCCTGCATACCCTGAAATGGTAGATGTAGTTTTCTGTTTTGCCTTTCTCCACAGTCACGTTAAACCTGCAGCAGAGTGAGGACAGAACAGATAGACCACAGGATTACAAAGAACAAGACTCGGAGCAGCAGACACTCAAGACCTGGAAGCCAGTCACAGCCCATATTAATGGGGGAACCCATTCTGCAGTCTGGCCCCAAATCTTCCCCTCTCCTTGGCCTAAGAGTAGGCACTGCACAACCCCAAGGCCTGCAGGGTGTTGTACTGTACCTCAATTGACTCAGGGGCTCCAGTTTCTTCAGCAGGGCTCTTTCCATTTGTGACTCGCTGCTTTCATCACCAACCACATCACAGCTCCTCTCTTTCCACTGTTCAGCTCCCAAACCGACAGCAAGGGCCATAAAGACTACCAGCACAGCAGTGGTGTGGCAAGGTGATGACATCCTAGACACACACCAGAGAGAACACAGAGGATTAACCGTTTCAGCCCCCTGCAAACTAACTTCAGGGTCACTGAGTCAACAACTGGCTACTTCCTCATCCTGACTGCAAAAAGGAGAAGTCAAAAATCTAGAAACTTCTCACAGTTCCCAAGATACACTCAATCTAAATCTCTTGCATAGTCAAAGACAATTCATTGGGCTGATTTGGGATTCTTTTCCAAATTCTGCCTCAGCACCACAAAAAGTTTTGCCGCTGAGCACATTAATTAGCACTGGTTCAGCCACAGCAGAGCCCAGCAGGCTGAACGCTGGAGTAAGTTGCAGACATAAGCCATCGTTCATTATTGCATCACTCTGAGAAGCCATTCAGCAGAAAATAATTTACCAGGCCTCTAATCAATCCTCTTTACAGCTCTCTTGTTAAGAGCTTGCAGGGAAGAGCCACTGTGATTAGTCAGGCTCTGTTTGTTCAAGTGCCTTAATCTTAATAATTATAATTATGTTATCTTTCTAATACTGCTTTAGCTGAAAATCTGCAAGTACTTAACAATGCTAAGCTGCAACGTCACAGAACAGTTTTCTTCTGTTTACATGGGGGAAGAAGGGAAGGAGGAAACAGATATCCTATGTAAGATCCAACCGAAGAGGCAGTAATTAAAATAATAACGAAATCTAGAAGATGTGGCTTTCAGGTTCATACAAAAATCACATCTAAAACATTCAGTGATTGCCCCAGCCAGCCACAGTGGCGCAACAGATTCCCCTCTGCTTCTCCCGTTGCAGAAGCCCTGGGGCGTCCATCGTGACAGCCCGTATCTGCCAAGCCAGCTCTTCGATCGCCACGGAGCTCAGATACGCTGAAAGGAGGAAGCCTGTGACACAAGGACTCGTGATTCGTCTCTCACAAGGCTGAAAGCAGAGCCCTGCCCTTCGCGCCGGTCACGGTTTCTCCAGGCAATTTACTGCCAAGCGCTCTGCTCACGCCCAGGCTTAAGCAAAAAGCGCTGCGGCGACGCCGGTGGCTTCCCCGGGGCCGGTGACCGCTCCGGCTGGCAGCCCGGGAGGCGGGCTGCCGCTGCCTCAGCCGCTCGCCCGGGGACAGGCGCAGTTTCACCCCCGCGGCGCCTCCCGGGGCCTACGGTGCCACCCCGCTCCCCCCACCCCGGCCCCCACTCTCCACCTCCCACCCACCGCCCGGGCGCCGCGGCCCCCGCCCCGACAGGCCGAGGCCGAGGCCGAGGCCGGAGCCGAATCCGCCGCCGCCGCACCCACCTGCTCCTACACCGGCCCCGCCCACCGCGCCGCCCGGCCTCCCCCCGCCGGGCACGGGCACCCCTACGGAAGAACGATCCCGCTGCTCACGGGTACCCCATGCTGCGCGCTCGGCGGTGACAGGGCGTCCCGGGAACCGCGGGCGCGGGCGGCGCCGGCCTCCACCCCCGCCCCAGCCGGCTCCCCTCGCCCGCCCCGGGAACCGGAAGTAGGAAGGGCGTGGCGGAACCGTCGCTTTCCGCCAATGGGAACCCAGCAGTCGCGTGGGAGGGAGGGAGAGGGAGATCTCCCCGCCCACTAGCCCTTCCTCAGCGAATAAGAAGCAACGGTGGAAAGGGGCGGCTTCTAGAGCCCGCCGCAGCCTATAACGGCAGCGGTTCCAGAGCCCGCCTCCTTCTTCTCCCTCCAATGGGCAGTGAAAAAAGGCGTGAAAACCCCGCCTCCCCTCTCTTCTCTTCCAATGAACGATGAGAGCCGGCAGACCGGGGTCCCGTAGCGCCCGCCGTCTAACCTCTCCTGCCCGACAGCCACTGCGGCGCGCGGCTCGCGGCGGGAGCCGCTCGCCCAATGGCGGAGAAGCACAGCCCGGCGGGCCGCTCGCCCCGCCCCTCGCCCCGCCCCTCGCCCCGCTGAGGCGGGCAGGGCCAGGCCCGCGGGCTGGGGCTCTCCCGGTGCCGGTGCGGGAGGCAGCGAGCCCGGGCACTCGGTTCTTTCTCCTCCTGGAAGCCGAACTCCCACCTCTGGCCCTCGCCTGCAGGCAGGTGGCCGCCTCAGTGAAGGTGAAAGGCTTCCCCGCGTCGCCGGGCCGCTGCCTGCCTTTCCCCTTGCTCCGTCTGTTGAAGGCAGTGGCGGATCATCGCTGCGCTTGGGCTTTGCCACCCCCCGCCATGTCCCTCCGGGGTGACCCCTTGTTAAACAAGGGAGACGGTTGTTCATAAAACTGCTTTGTGTGGCCTCGATCCTTCGGATTTCGTCCCCGCCTGACTACTGTTCTGTTCCACTTTGGAATAAAGGTTTCTCCTCCAGCTTCTGCAAGCTTTGACCACTGCAGGGGAATTCCAGGTTCAGCTGATCGTGCACAAGGTTTGTGGACTTGCACATCCTGGGTATGATTAATAAACCTATAAATTATTTGTGACTGGCCTATTTTAAGGACATTTCTTAAGTCATGCCCGCACCAGGATGGTAAGAGAGTCCACTTTCCAGGGCTCTGTTATTGGGAGTGACTGATGTTCATTGCCAGAGCTCTGAGGCTTCTGCATCTTTTAGCTAAGAAAGAAATGCTGGATTTAGTGAACTTGTGAACATATTAGAGAAGCCACTTGTTTGAGGGGAGCTTGGGAGGCTTCCCTACAGTATGCCGCTTCAGTAGCGAAGAACTGGGAAGGAGCATTGTTGGCTCCTGGAAAACTCATTTAGTCCTGCTGCGACTTGCGTCCTACTGCTGATTCCACCGGGAGTATGGCACAGATATCGCAGTGCAGAAGTTGGATTTATTTATATTCAGACTTAGTTATTAACTGAGTATTGCCTGCATACCTCCTACGGTGCAATCGCTTCCTCTCGTATTTCCTGTCCAAACTAAGAACTCCATTTATTACTGATAATTTGATAGAAAATGGTAAAACACATCAAAACAGAGCTCTTAATTCTTCCCCGCCAGCCTTTATTTCTCCACTTACTCACAAATAACATCATCTGTGATCATACTGGCTCTGCAGAGAGCCTGCAGTGCCTTTGGCCACAGCCTTTTTCCCTTAGTTTGGGCACTTAAGATGTGTCTGAATCTTGTTGGTTTCTTTCCAGCCACACAGATTTTATTCCCAGCTAAACTCTGATCATGACTATAGCAAATTCTCTGGACTTGATAGGTCTCTCTAGACTACCCTAATATCCATTCAGAGCATTCAGGAGAGGCTTCCCTCCTCTTGTGTTGCTCTGCTGTCTTCTGTCTTCCCCTTCCTTTCAAGTATAGACTCCCTGTCTTGCTGCCTACAGGCCCTACCCAGGATTGGAAGGAATCTTGTGGGTGCAGTATGCCACCTTTAGAGGCAAGTGTATGATGGAGGAATTTGTGGAAATATCCAAACCACGCCTTCCCAGACATGCACGTTGTAACAAGTCAGTCACAACACTCAAACTAAGCATCCTCCCAGGCAATCACTTCTCAGATTTACAGCATGTCACCAGGATGGGGAGCAATCATCCCCCTCCTAGAACTGAAAACCATGACAAGCTCCTTTGTTGAGAATGCCCAAATAATTCTTGTAAATGAACTGTACCAATGATGACACCCCGAGCCTGGCAAACATCTCTAATTTGAGCATGAAATGGAAGGGATCAGAATCTGGATCAAAACAAAAATAAACCAACCATGTAGCTGAGAGGTTTCTCAGGGTGCTAGAACATCAGTACTCCCCACCACAGAATCAGAATCATTTAGGTTGGAAAAGACCTTTAAGATCGTCAAGTCCAACTGTTAACCTCACGCTGCCAAGCCTACCACTAAACCCTAAGTGCCACATCTACACGTCTTTTAAATACCTCCAAGGATGGTCACTCAGCCACTTCCCTGGGGAACCTGTTCCAATGCTTGATAACCCTTTTGGTGAATATATTTTTCCTAATATCCAGTGTACACCTCCCCTGGTGCAACTTGAACCATTCTCACCAATGGTCAATCTTCTCTACTTCAGAAGAAAACTATCCTTTCCTGTTATCGTTGACCACAGAGTCACAGAATGATTGAGTTTGGAAGCGATCTCTCAGGGTCACCTGGTCCAACCCCCTGCTCAAGCCAGTTGCCCAGGACTGTGTCCAGATGACTCTCAGTGGAGGGAGACACCACAATCTCCCTGGCCAACCTCTGCCAGTGTTCAATCACCCTCACAGTAAAAAAGTGTTTCCTAATGTTCAGAGGGAACCTCCTGTGTTTCCGTTTGTGCCCACTGCCTCTTGTCCTGTCACTGGGCATCACTGAAAAGAGCCTGGCTCTTGTACCCTCCAGGTATTTATATACACTAATAAGATCCTCCCCAAGACATCTCTTCTCTAGGCTAAACACTCCCAGTTTTCTCAACCTTTCCTCATAGGAGAGATGCTCCAGTCCTGTTACCATCTTTGTGGTGCTTTGCTAAACTCTCTCCAGTATGTCCGTGCCTCTCCTGTACTGATGCTGTTGAGATCTTGACTCAGAGGGTGTTGAGGGATGCCAGCTCCCAATGCCTGCCTGTGTCTCAGGCACATTGACACTGGGTGTTGGGTGTAGACAGGGTTCCTTGTCGAACTGTGCAAGGCTCACAAGGAATCCTTGTCTGTTTTGACAGCACTTGGGCTGCCAGTTTGCCATAGCCATTGTTTATCCCACTTTTCACCTTGTACTCTCACTATTTAGTTTTTCCACCTTGTGCTCTTGCTATCCACCTGCTTCTGTCCCGAGAGGGAGCTCTTCAGAGCTGCACACATTCTCACAATTACTGCATCGCCGTAATCACAGCAACGGTTAGAGTACCCACGAACATTGTGATTAATTACCTCTTCCACAAACAGCTGTTCTTAAGACATCCCTCATCAGATTAGGAAATGGAAGTTGTTGCACTTCCATTGGTCTCTGTTCTGTTATAAATTTGGTTATTTTGAGCATCTGGAAATGGAGGTTGCAATTTCACATTTATTGTCTTCTGAATGTAGCCTCAGGTTTCTTTTTTCACAGGTGTTGATCCCTGTCACTCAACAGCCTGATTGGAACATCTTGTCATATGTACTCCTTGCTCTGACATGGAGGGAAGCAGATCAGAAACTTCTGCAGCTGAAGTGAGTGAGGAAAGAATTTATACTTCTGTCAAATTCTCCGACTCCTCCGCTGAGGGACAAAGCTGCATGGGGAAAAGAGAGGTAAGGAAGCTGGATGACATAGGTCAACTAAAGATTTGATTTTGACCAAAAGCAAGATCTAACAAAAACTCTCTGAGCTGGCCACTGATTTTGAGTGTCAGCTCACTGTGCTGTTGCTTTGGTTCTAAAATTACCATGAATATTTTAATGTGATAAAAGCTCATGGGTTAGAGACCCAGCATTGTTTCCCTCCCTCTCTCCATCAGAGTCCATTTCGTCTCTACTCCTGGGCATTAAACCCAGGCATCCTTTTTGCTGAAAGAGATTTATGGTTTTAAAGTTGTCTGCTTGTCAGCAATAAGTGATTGTCAGCAATAGTTCTTTGAAGGGAGGGTGAGATGCGAGCACACATAAATTAGAGGCGTATGCTAATAAGAGATGAGAAACAGACGAGGCATATGAGATCATCCAGCCTCTCTCCCCTGGGTCTCTTCAGGATTTTTTTGTGATGCATTTTTTTCCTGTGTTTTCTCTGTTCAAGTTTTAAGTACCTCCCATTGAGCAAATTTTCAGCTTTTGCCTTGAGACATTTCTGCAGGACATTTTACTGTCAGGAAGATTTTCTTAGTGCTTTCCTTAAATTTTCTCTTTCCTTATTTCTGCTCCATCCCCTCTGTTCAGGATTTGCAAATGTCACCCTGAGCAAATTCTTTGGCTGCTTAGTTGAGAAATACCACCTTAGAAGAGTGAGATTTTTCACTGGTGATCATTCTTTGCAAGTGTCTTCTTCCCATGAGCTGATTAATTTTCCTCTAAATGCCTGTGTGCTTTAGACAAGTTGTGCTGCATCAGCTGCAACACTTAATGGTTGACCTTTTTTCAGAGCTGTTACAGCAAAGGGGGCTTTCACTGTGGGATGCGGGGTTTCTGTGCCTGGTCACCACTTGCTGCACTATGGAAACAAAGCCAGCACAAAGACCCCCAAGTTCCTATCTGGTAATCACACTCTACCTGCTTGGAAGCCAGTCTTGGTTTTGCATGTATTTTCATCAGAAATTATGTTTTCCATTGCATCAGAAAACACAGGGACATCCCTTCATTCCCTGCCATTTGTGTTTACTCCCACCCTGTTGCAGGTGGAGATTACCTGATTGAGATGTTTGCAGTTTTGTTTTTTAATATTCCTCCTTTTGAAATGCCTTTATGTACCCTCATCTTTTTTGAGCTAGTCAGAGGGCCGAAAATAAGGAAGCTGATCTTTGAACAAACTTTCTGCGCATATTATTTGATTATTTCCCAGCTCTCTTCTGCGTGCAAGGGGTCTCTAAGGAGCACAGTTTAAGTATTTTTCTTTAGGAGATCATTATTTTCAACTCTGTCCCTGCCTCCATCACTTCTGAGAGATGTACTCTCAGGTATTTCATCTCCCTGTTTCCAAATGCACACCCTTGCTACCAAGTCATCCCCGTGATGCAGTATCACAGGTATATCACAGGTGTATAGATCAGTCCCCTGGTCAAACCAACTGGTTTTGGCTCTCATGGACTACTTGAAAATGAAGAGTTGTCCTGGCTGTCTTCTGGCTTCCAGAGAGCCTTAGATAAGCCACAAAACATCAGTCCAGCAGTCACTTAAGACAGTGCTAGCCTGTGTGGCACACTTGTAGTAACAGCAACAACCAAGTCAGTGCCATAGTCAAGGACAGGATCTTTGTTTCTCAAATCCTCCTCCCTGGCCCCAGGTAGTCATGCTGCTCCCATACTGACGCAGGCAGGAGCTGAGGGGACCTATTTGGGACAGTACAATGACATTCTTTAGATTGCCCTAGAAGACCTGAATTATAAAATGTGAACAGCTTTCAGTTTTTGAACTGAATCTGGACTCCCAAACCTAAAAATATTGAGTCACGTTGCTTGCACATGAATGCAGTGCATCACAGTCATTTCTCCAGAGCACTGAGAGACCTAACAGGGTGTTTTGTATACTAGAAAGTTATAACATTGGATATTTACATTAAATGTCCACCAGTCCTGTTATAGGTAGATTAAGGCCAATCTCATCCAAATATGGATTCATGAATCTTTATTAAGGTAAGAGAGCAAATGCAGCGCTGGGGTGGCCGAGGAGTCGAAGCTCTGTCCAGGCTCACCAAATTGTTTAAGTTTCAAACCCCCTTTTACCCACACACCTGCCGGTTTCAACACCTTTGGCATGTCTCCTGGCTTCTTCTACAATCTTATCTTCTTCTTTATTCAGTCCTGTGGTCACTTACACCTTGTCCTTCAAGTCTGGGCCAAATTGCAGCTCCTCTGTCTTTTATGGCTCAGTAGTTTCAGTTCCTCTCTTACCTCAAGGACAAGAGATACCAGGGATGGCCCATTCTGTTCTTTCTCATTCCATTGCAAAGGAGTTACTGCCCTGTGATATGGACCATTTGGTGAGCATCCCAAGAGGGGGGGCTGTTGGGTTGGTGTTTCCTCAGATCAATTCCCCCCTTTTCCCAGTAGTAAAGTCTTTTACTTTTCTTAAAATTTGGATCATTGTACTAATAATAGCTTTAGCCTAAGAAGTAATTGTTTAATTACTTTTAGCGAAAGCAAAATTATTCTATTATTTATCACAAGTCCCCTTCTCCCTTCCCTGGGGGAGACTCTTCCACAGTTCCTCAGACAACTGCATGGAAATATTTCTGGATGCTCCATTCACATTTACCTCCTCTGTTTCAAACTCATTTCAGGTACTTCTCCCCTCCTTTTCTACAAGAGTTTGACATGTAGTCCAGGGGCTGAGGAACAAACACAAACCCTTGAATTTGTTTTAAAAAGGGGGATCTGCAGGGATTCCCTTTTGCAAGGGGTAAAATCCTGATTTCTGAAATCTTTTATTCCACTTTCCTGGACTGATATTCCAGTTCAAATGAGGCTTAAATTCACCTCAAACACTTCAAAATTACTTTCCCACTTTACTTTCTTTTTCTTCTGCTAAAGTTATCTAATGGCACAATTTTTCATTTTTAAAAACTGAAGTGAACTCTCCCACTGCTCTGGTTTCGACATGCCCAGGGGTTTTGTTTCAATGCTGAGTGGAGTCAATTCCTTTTTTCTGCAATTGATTTGAAACAATAGAGGGTGAACTGCTCTATTCATTGCCAGGAGGCACCAGCTCGGGTTTACAGCATTAACCGTTTCACTGACTGTCATCCCAGTCACCTTGTCCTGGAAGTAGTTATCCCTAAAATCAGGAACAGTGATCTGGAGGATGCAAGAGATAGCTTCTTTGCGAGGCAAGAGAGGAAGGAAAACAGAAGTGCAAATCCTCAGAAACGTGGTCTCAGAACAAAGAATTATGTTTCAACAGCTATTTATCCCTTCTACTTAGTTTTCAGTTGTAATCTGCAGAGAAGCAGCTCCACTTTACCTTTGAACCTCGGGCTGGCTCTATTCTCTTGAGGCTTAATCTGATGGCAAAATCCACATCACCAGAGATACAGAGGTGACTTTACAAGAGGAACTGAGATCAGGCAGAGAGAACAGCTACCCAGGGCAAGTCCTTCAGTTCTCCCATTGTCCTCTTGCATGAAGCTGATGAGTAGGTTGTCACTGAAAAGTCTTTCTCTATTTTGTAACTGAAAAGAGACGTGGTTTTGTTCTTTAATAATAATTAAAAAAAGAAATAAATGTTGCTATTTTTTAACTACAAGTGGGACAGCTATGTTATAAATTGAGACCACAATGGATCATAATCCAATTATAATTTTATTAATTATAGCAAGTAGAATATGAGCAAAGACAGCGCTGGACGACAGGGGAGTCTGCGCTCCGCCAACTGCCGTACTGATCAGTTCAAACAGTTCCTTTTTATACATTTTTACATTCGTGGTTGTCTTTGATCAGTACCCCTTCTGCTTGCACAAGTATCTGGTTTGTGTAAGCAATTGCGGTTATCTTGTCTCACGCGGTCATCTTGTCTCACAGGTTATCTTGTCTCACACAAGCGGTGTCTGGCAGCTATTTGCATAAGCAGTTTTTCTGTCTTTTGCCGCCTAACCTTTACATTGAGCTTAACATAAATTTCAATAAACAATACCCTTAGTTCATAGTTTCTTACAATCCCCCCTTTTTCTTTTATCCTATTATTGTTTATTAGATGCTACTTTCATTTTCGTCACTGCAAACAAACCTTTTTCCACAATTCCAACATTTATCATAACACTCTCAAGATAATACCTTACAATTACAATCATAGTTTTCACGTGGCATAACGCATTCACAACAATCTTTTCCACCAGGAAGCTCCTAATAGATCATCCCACCATTCTGAGTCTAACATTGAGGGTGTTTTCAGAGCACCATAGGTAAAACAGCTCTTATTCTATCTGCTATGTGCAGTTGTCGCCTTAATGTTTTTGCCGTGTGTTATTTATTCCTTGCTTTGTTCAGTTAATCCAACAAGTTGTGACCAACATGCAATTTGCTACTACTGTTTCACCTGTTGGTGTTAAGCAAGTTCGAGCTGTGTGCCGAACTGCACAGTCAACCGTACTATCAGACACTCTGTAAACAATAATCAACAATTTATTAGCAAACAAGAACCTGAAATAATTAACTGTATAACAATCCAGCAAAGTCCCACGCGACACAATCAGAAAGAGAAAAAGTAAGAACCAAAGATATCAGCACTGTCCTTTGGATGTTGTCCTTCGATGTCTTGTTACCCTTACTCACGGGGCGGTAGCGATAGAAAGACAGAGTCCAAGAACAACAGTCACGCGCCGCGCGGTAACTCCTCTGATCAATAACATTTTCTTCTTTGAACTATAAGTCTGTTTCCATCACCTCATCACGGTTTCGAGGGCGTCTTAGTTGTCTTCGTGATCTTGGAGGATTGGGGGGAGGAGGTGATCTCCGACACCAGCCACGAGACATTCCCTCGCATACCGCGATGGCAACGACAGTCACCACCAATATAATGAAAAATCCTAACAGCAGGGCGGCGCACACGGGATCGTCCCCTACTCCCATCTTCCCAAGATTGCAATCCAGCGGGATCAGTAAGATT